TGTGTGTGTGTGTTTGTGTGTATGTGTGTGTGTTTGTGTGTGTGTATGTGTGTGTATTTAAAGCCTGATATATTGTTTCTCGACCAATCGTATTCAACTACAACACATACCTACCCATATGATAGGTTTGTATGTGCCTGTGGTGTATCCCCCATATGCCGATCTTCATAAAATAGCAACCATTGTTCTTTAAAAGAACAAATCGTTCGCTAACTAACTCAATTTAACCTATCTCTTCTGCTAATCTCTTATATCGGTTCGTATTGGTTAGTAGACTTATGGTCTCTTGTACCGTTCCACTTATCGGGGAAGAAGTGTGACACCCCGGGTCACTCTGACCACTCCATTATTAAATCTTCAGAGAAAAAAAACAAACACTCTGAAACCATCCTCACGCCTCGATAGACATACATCCGAGCTATACAACCAGCAGTATAGCACATGGGCTGAGCTTCACATCACTCCGTTGTTTCTCGTAGTGTATTAGATGCCAAAGAGCAAGACATCAACAACCCGAAATGGAAAGAGGCTGAGGATGTGCTGGCGGACTTTAATTCACTGGCCGGCCATTTCAAAGACCTGGTGAGTTCAATCGGTGATGTGTTTGGTTTGCACATCTCAGCCGGATATTGCATGGGCAGTGTGTGTACCTTGTGTGTCGTTTGGCGTAAGATAGGTTTTCTTCGTTTATCTACTGACAACAGTAGGTAGTGAAAATACAGAAAGATGTGTGTGCGCTACTCTCCGAGCGAATGAATTGTCCTTGACATTCACACACACTTCGGTTCTGAGCAACGGTTGCTTGCACATGTGATAACTGTACATAACAACACTCCATGTGTGAGGGTGTGATATGGCCTGTACCCGTACACTCACCCTCTACAAACTAAAATAACACTCAGACAACACTAAGCGATCATCAAACTACGCATCATGTGTATATATATCAATTCGTCTAGTCCCGTACTTCAGCCTCTCCAGTATCGCTGCAGTCAGCCCGAGGATATACGAAACACCTTCGTACCACCCTATGAACAGTGCTTGCTGAACGTGTGGTGTACAATGTCCTTGTGCATCTGTTCTCAGTGTGTCGATTGCCCAATATCTTCATGGACGCCTTTAGCATTGCTTTGTGGGTTGCAATAATCACCGCTAGATCAGTCACTGACCTAAAACGTCACGCACGCGATACTGCAATAGGTATACATAGACATGACACTGTTTTGCAAGTACCTGCTTGCACAGAATATCAAATCAGTAGTATACAAACCTCAGCAATCAGGGGAACCCTAAAAATCCTGAGTACGTAGACGTATTATAGATTGTATTTGCAAACTTGTATCCAATAGGAAAACAGTGAGATGGACGAAATGGAGACTACGCTGAAGCGTGTGAGCTCCGTTATGAGTCAAACCACCGACTACGCATCCGAGTCCAGCCACGAAGTCGATCCACCAACAGCACGTGTTCTGACGGGAAAGGTGAGTGTATGCCATATACTAGGGAAGGCGAGGTTTCGATGGAGGGGGCGTATATACTTATCGAAAATCTAGTAAGATATCTTAAATCCCGGCGCTGATATGGAGCGATATGTTTCACTTGTGTTAACATCGCGTTGAATGAGTGTGAAATACGGTCGCTTGCATCGATCCCCACATAACGGGACATATCATCAACGGTTTTGCTCTCTCTATCTTCGGTATGCGTTGATGATCCACTCGTATTCACTGGCATACAACAATTCATATTCACAATATGCAAGCGCAATTATGGTTTGTTCTTTGAATGGTTTAGTATGTGTGGCCCGATACCTCCCATACAATGGACATAACCTTTGACACGTACTTTCCATTACATATGCCGCAATCTAGTACTGAACAAAGTGTGTCTCATATTTCCTCACAACAAATGCAGCTAAAGCCCAAAGGACCGCTGGGACGAATGAAGATGTATGATGAAAGGGGTCAGGCTCCGAATAGTGCCCCAGTGAGGCGAGAAAAGAACGTTTTCGACTTTAATGATATTCTATCCGTCCTCTAGTTCTTTGTAATGTAGGCGATATGCTCGACTTTATTGATCTCCTTTCAGGCCTGTTGTCTCGTTTAACGGATAATGTACGGTTTGATTGTAACGGAATCCTGAAAGCTTTCAATCACTTTGCTAAATGGGTATGAGTGGGCGAATGAGGTTGTGCTCGCTGAGCGAGTCAATTCACTATTCTCTTTGCTTATGATAGGCGTAGAGCAGTCAGTATGGCATAGAGCAGTCAGTATAAACAGCCCAGCGTCACCGTATCCGCTGTAAAAGTAAGCTTGCAATGGCGACAGATGAATGAAGTTAAAAACTAGCTATCTTGCAAGTTGCAAGTGCTATATATGGGCATTTTATTTACTTTTTTATTTTTTACTCGGTTATGATTACAGCTGTGCGTACAGGGAAAGAGGGTCCATACTCATTGAACGAAGATTTTCGTACGATACATGTCGATTCAATTGTCGACAATCGCTTTGTATCTTGTTTTACCAGCGAATTCTCGAACAATTTATCGGGGTCGAGCTTTTCTGAAGTTTTCAGGTCGAAGAACACTATAGCTGCAGTGATGCTGAAGAGCTGTGTCACTGCGATGGACTGCATGAAGAAAATCACAAAGGTTCTGAGCAGGATTATGCCACTGTTGGTGACGTAATTATCTGGAATTTCTGTAAATACATTGGCTCGCATAATCAGTATAAATAATGGTAGCACGGCGATTCCCAAGCCTGCATACACATTTTGTTTCCAATCTGAATAGGTCTGCGTCACCCCCTTGCACTTCCAGGTATAGTATATCAGCACCAAAAACCAGAAACTGGTAGCGCACGCTATGATCAAATCAACAGCTAGATCGTAGCCGTTCGGGTTGATATAAAAAAGTACAGACCTGGGTATCATGACCATCAGTGCCCAGGCTAGGATCAGAATGTACGCCTTGCGATACTCATTGCTGTGAGTACCAAGGATTTTGCTGGGAACAATGAACTGATCACGGACAAACAAGATGTAAATCAATCTTTGTCGCGCGACTTGAAGCCCAATTATCATTACTAAACTGCACAAGCGAATACTGGGAAGTATACATTCCAGCCAGAGAGGACAAGATATAATCCTCAATCCCACCAGGGCTAACAGAACGGTGTCCACGCAACATATAATGAGAGCAACCAGAAGACCGATCATGTACTCGTAGCCACGTACGCGAACGAGAGGATGCTCTCTGTATCGGAGACTATATCCTAGAGTGAAGAGAATTTGTGCTCCATATACAGCACTACCCACCAGGATGGTGACTACCGCTCTCGTGTGCCCAACTCTATCTGCTGGGTCGGGACTAAATTTATACCAGGCCAGCGCAAACAGTCCACCATATATACATGCATTACAGACCAGCGATACTGTAAACACCAACATCTTTAGCATCTCGTAGTTGTCATCAGTCAGCATTTTAGTCCTTTTAATCTGTGCTAAGGATGCCAATCGCTCTCTGTACGAAGAATGTGAAGTGTTCAGGTCATTCGCATCAGTTGTATCACTTATATGGGATCCCTGTTCCGAGTTTCCACTTACTGATGACTTCAGTGCCTTGCGATGGATATCTGCATTTCCACTTTCACTCCTAATGTCCATCTTTAAAGTATCTTTGCTTTCGAAGTCGCATTCTGTTGCCAGCACATCCTGACTTTCGGGATAGCTAGCTAAGACTACCTTTTCTTTCATCGGAGATTTATCAATTGTAGGCTGTCTACCAGTTGCTATTCTCTTCATTGGCAAGCTTCCGCTGGTATGGTATGCTCGCTGTGTGTACGTGCTTTGTGTCAGGGATGTATCAAAGTAATAACCATCAACATCTGTCATGCTCTTACGTATAAACTACATAGGCAAAGGCAGACACGCACTAGACCCACATTGGAATTCTTCGCTCGACAATGTTTTTCTTCTTCTAAAAACTGATCATATACCATACCTAACCGCTGATTCATATGCCTTGTGCCCTGCCGCCCTGTCTCAGGTCTCAACAGAGCAACTCAGCCTGACAATCTCCCAGCGACTCAGCCTCTACGTATATACTAAGGATATAAAGTATTACAGTATGTATACAGTATACTGTATAATCAGGATCTCACAGGCGTAGGCAAGGCTTCGGCCTTCGAGCGCCTTCGATCTGATGTCGGTATTTTTTTTTAAAGCACTACATGTGAAATTTTAGAAGAAAAATGTAGTTTGTTTGTTTTTTAAACAATAGGTGTGGGTTTATTTACAGTATTTACATATGTAAATATACTGTTCCTCTTTTTTTTTTAATACAAAACAAAATTTGTTATACAAATAGAATTATAATTAGATACAAAAAAGCTCGAGTGCGGTTTTCCAGTTTTGTTTCTGAAGTTCAGAGTGCGAAATACTTCAAATATCTGAAGTTCTATTTGCTTTATGTTTTTTTTTATACAGTGAGGCAAAACAAAAAGCAACTTTAGATAAAAAAATGAATATGCCATGGCTAGTTTTAAAGGTAAATGCTCGAGTCTCGACGCTCTAGTTGAGTCTCTACTCTCTCAGAAGAAACTTGGACAGAAAGTGTACAGTTTATTGGCGACTCCAGTGTCCACTGTCCACACAACTTGAGTTCACTGTCCAGTCAGTGTCCAGACTACAAAAAGTGTCTCTTACACATAAACATAGCCCCAACCGGGCAACTGCCAAACTTTATACACTCTCTTTAGACTAGACTCCAGCCTCAGGGCTAAGGCCCTAAAAAAGAGACCCGGACCAAAGGGCCAGGAGTACAGTCCAGGCTGTCAAGGGGCAGGATTCCAGGTTGGCGCAGCCCACAGCCTACAGCCTACATACAGGTGACAGATGACAGATCACTCACACAGGGGGTGTAAGAGAGCAAGATTGCCGTGTGTATTACGAGAGAAGGCGCGAAATGCTGCAGTGACTCAGAGTCAGCGACTCAGCGGAGCCAGGCAGCCAGCCCTGAAACTGAAAGTCAGACTCGGAGTCAGAAGCTCGAGGCTCTAAACAATATTAACAATATAATTGGTTCATATGCCTGGAAATAGTATGTACATAGTGCCTTTGGTGATTGCTTGATTGATTTCCCTGATTGGACAGTGCCGAAGCCTACAGGCCCAAGGCCACAGGCTCACAGCCCACGGGGCACGGGCTCACTGGGGAGTCTGGAGACAGTGGAGTGTGAGAGTCTGTGAGTCGTGAGACTGTGAGGTGAGTGCATATTTATGTAATAAAAACATAAAAATTCAGCCAACAAATAAAAACACTTGTGACGGCACGTCGGCGGCGTCCGACGTGACGAGACCGTCGAGAGTCGTGAATCGAGACGATGATTGTGTTCAATGTGATAAGCGCTCGTCATATGATAGACTCATATTTAGTAATCTTTACAATAAGCGTTGACTGTTAGGCGAATAACGGTGTTGACTGTTGTGTTGAACACAAGCATAGGACAAGCGACGTCAAAATTTGCCGTGACGACACTTCGTAGGACATGTCGGTCGAGAAAAATATGATGTCGTCAGCCAGGACAGTGGCGGATTATCGGTCAGCCGGATCAGGTCGTCCGCAGCCCGCAAGACAGCGCAGGTCTGTTTGTTATTTAATATTATTTTTTAACTTTGTTTTTTTACCTGGGGCTGGAGGCGGCCACTGGCCAGCCAGGCCAGGCTCGTTCATCGGTATTTGTTTTTTCTTCTTTTTTAATACAAAATAAGGTAAAGAAAATCCAAGAACATAAATACTGTATGTACATAAAAATCATAAATACACCCTGGGAACTTCGGATGAGCTACTTTGGTTTACGCGCCGGCGAGGGTCCGAAAATCAGGGGACTTACACTTTTGTCCTGATCCCTATAGGGGTTAAGGCCAGGTTGGGTCTCAATATTTTTATAAAAATAAATACATTTTCTTGCACTCGAAGTCCCAAAAAACAGGGGGGTTGGACCTAACCCAATGTAGCACATTGTAAGTTCCGAACCGCCTAACAATATGTATTTACCAAATATTTTTAGAAACACAACTATTTCCCGGAAAAGTACTTACTCCGAGATTGGGTAAAGAATTTGTTTTTTCTTATTGACAGGTATTTATTTGTGGAAACAAAAACCACAGTTGCAATAAAGGTTTTTTTAATAAAGTTTTTTTTCAGTACACTATTTATGTGTCACTCCAATGGTAAATAGTCGCCTCGCAACGGGACAAATTCATCTCATTTATTTATCATTTATTTATATCTATGTATGAGCGGAGAAAAATACAAATTTTAAAAGGCCCATCAATCTATATTCTATCATGCCCGCACACACAAATCATTACTTTATTCATACCCTTACTCGCGAAGGCACCGCCCTTCTCGTGTTGACAGATTCCAATTTTGTGTTCGGAAACGATAGTATGTACGCATGCATGTTGCATGTATTCACGAATTTCGATATTTCCCTTTAAAAGAATAAACTAACACCCTTCCGATATCATAAATCCTATTAGCAGCTTGTAGTAACAGTCTTTGTTCCCTTATAAGACACTATGAATCAGTATGAAGGGGTTAGGAAAGTACCTACAATCACAATCGATTGATATTACGCCTGGCAGTGTTTGTGTCAAAGTAAATACTGGTGGAGATGACAGCGGTCCATCTGCATCTCATAAGACAATTCCAGAGCGGACATCAAATACAACAATACCTAGCGTAGGCACCTTGGAACCGTATGCCAGAAACTTGCAGAGTGGCTTGAAACGGTGCCATTCTTTAGTATGGTGGAGTGTGGTAGTTGACACCTGCATAATTTTAATGGGATTTGCTGTTTTCATGGTCAGCGCATTCGCAGCAGACGATAGTTATAATGTTAATAGCAACGAAGAGATACGTTTTCCTCTCACGCTTGCCACCTTCGTTATAGCGTTTGCTGTTTGGCTTCTGTTGACAGTGTTCCTTTATTGCAATAGGAAGGAACCAGAGATTCAATCACAGAATTATTATTTCCGAACACAGATACTTGTGTGCGGTGGACTATCAATTTTCTGTAAGTTCGTTGCCTTTCTGATGCAATACAAATACAGCCAAGTTAACCATTATGCCAGAATCATCGTTATCGGAGTAGCGTACTATGGTGTACTATCTGCAATCCTTTTAAAACTACACTTTATTTACACGATTTGCGTAAAGCAGGAACTCCGGCAATCATATTCCACTGGTTTTCTATATCACATTCCACTCATCACTATTTCCGTGGTTCCCCTGTACGCGTGCTCTTTCGCATCAGTGAGTTGCAGCCAAGGGGCCGTGTGGTCCGGAAGTTGGTGTATGTTGGCTTTCTTCATGTTGGAGTTTGGCTTCTATTTGTGGAATGTGCGGCCGGTGCCCGAACTATTCGTTGACTTTGGTAGCAACATTCGCGTGTTCTGCTTCATCTCCATTACGTACCTTGGGTCGACCTACACCTTAGTCGAAGGTCGGCCTCTATATGTGTACGACTTGTCGTATATCGTATTTCCTTTCGCGCTATATGTTGCCTGGTTCGAAATCTTCGGATTAATAGTGATAAAGATCGCAAGACGTCGGTGTGGAACACAGTGGCTGAAGGACGAAAACTTGCAGGGAATAGCAGGTGCCTTTCTCCAAACAAGAGACGGAACCATGGATTTCGTACTTTTTCGATACATTCATGCTCCAGAAATTCAGGGAATTGACACGGAAAAGGCGATGCGAAGAGACTTTGGATGCCCTGATTGGATGTAGGGCTATAGGGTACTTGTTCGAAATCGGCAGCATCGCTGCTGCCGGGCAACTAACAGAGCAATGGGCGATTACACATATCACAGGACGGGATTTATGTCAACATGTGAATATAGGCTATGAGAGCCGCGAGGCTCTATTGCAGACCATCGAATTTCTGCACGCTTCGGTACCTATATCAGCTACTACCATGCAGACATTTATGTTTATCAATCAAAACCTGTCATTCATGCTAAGAACGCACGTGATCGCGCTGTTCAAATCAGAGGAGGTTGTAGAGTATTGCTTGAAACTACTTGCTCTTGCCAAGGTTGGATTCCTGAATGTTGACGGAAGTGGTGTTAAACCCCCAACCCATGACGCGTCCACGGATATTGAGGTCGTAAGTACAGCGCACTCATGATATAAAATGATAAGTAATACAGAATAAAATATAATAATTAGACTTAATAACTCAAGGGTAATATACATCTTGCCTGTCTCAAGTCAAGGACAATGTGAAAACCTGAACAGCCTATGGTCTGCCCGGAATTCTCCTCATGGCTAGACAAGACCTAACTGTCAACACATTAAGAATATCCATCTGCCAGTTAAGCTTTCTAAAGATCCGGTGTAGGCAGTTTGCTGTTGAGCGCATACTCTCGTATTGCACCTCCTGCTTCAATATGACTGTAGGTATGGTCTCAGTAGGGTAAGTTCGTAAGCACGAACGTATACGTACGCATGTGCAGGTGTTGGTGTTGGTAAATAAGTAGAATCTTCACTCACTCGCTGCAACGCGACAGCAAACCCAGTTTTTAATGCGCAACAAACTCGAAATAGAGCATGCACCTAATAAGGAAAGAGCTCTAACCACTTTGTAACGAAGGCATTGTGTATGAGCATGGCCAATTTTCAATAGAGCACCTTGGTCCTTTATTTTGGGCACGAGGTGCAGTACAACGGGTTCAGAACCCGCAGAAAATAGGTTCTTCGAGGAGTATCATCGCACAGACTTCGTCAGCAGCGACAGAACATCGGTATCGGCAATATGTTCTCTCTCCAAGACTCGTAGGTCAGAACCGTATCTACCACCATCTGTCATTGTATTTGAATGAAGGAAAGTAATCCCGTTGGTTGGAAACGGGGCCAATCGGCGCAAGCAACAGTAAATGAATTGACCTTATTTGTTTGAAAGTTCGGTCCTTGGTTACACAGTTCACTTGTTTCCAATCGAGTGCGTGAGAATATACTACTTTTTGCTCTATACGCGTCAAGTTGGCTATTCCCTACAACAATGTAATATATATATATATATATATATATATAAAATGTATATATATATGTATATGTATATATGTATATATGTATATATGTATATATGTATATATGTATATATGTATACATGTATATATGTACATAT